TTTACATTATGCGATCGCATGCGAATTTTTTATATTTATTGGCGCATTTATATACCCGCATTTATATATATTTACATATTTATATATACAACACACACAGACGCGCACCCATACACTACACGCATCTACATGGATACGTGTACATGACGAACACACACACACACACACACACACACACACACACACACACACACAATACATGCCCACACACGGTGCACAAAATTTTCTACAAATTTTGAGTTTCTTCTCTTTTCGTGATTTTTCTTTCTGCAGCTGCTGTAGCGTCATGTGTGCGCTTCTTGCGATACAGTAGGTTTCTCTACGCGTCTCTTTCATGATTGCTAACAAAGCGATACCTTATATCGAATTTGTCGCGCGCGAGGAACGACGCATAGATCGCTCTGGCGTCGCTGCTCGTTTCGTCAATGCTGCTTCTCAAGTCGCTTTTCTCACGCGTTTTAGAAAGTCCCCGATAGAGAACTTCTCGTCGCAATACGGACTTGCAAATAAACATCGAGATGCGCGACACTCGGTTCGCGTACGTCGTACGTGTATTCCCGTGCGAAATTCAATCGTTTGCGCACTTGCGACGGTTGGCCTGAAAAGCGCCTTGAAATGTTAACGTCGATTGAAATGACGGGCCATTATCGATTGGAACGAGCTGATTTGAGGACGGTAATTAGCGAGCTGTTTCCTTAATTAATTGCACCTCCCGCGCGTTAAATAACGGGATATTAATTAAACCGTGGAGGCCACTCTACGTTACGACACGAAGGTGATCTCTTCTCGGTGTAATCTCGCGTTCCTCTCTCTTGAGGGGCGCGAGTTAAACAAAAATAATTCCGTCCTCTTTTCAGACGTTCTTCTCGTTTCTCAGCGAGTCTCTCGCTGCGGAACGTCGCGTTCGCCCTGATGTAATTTTCCTTGGGCGAAAATTTACGAGCGTTACTTCAAATTGACTCTCTCACAGCGCGCGCGCGCGCCACTTTGCCGACCAGTCCGTCGTTAATTAGGAACTCAAAAGGACCATTCGCCGCACCTGTCTCTCACTCTTTTAGTCGCGGTGTCAACTGCACTATCTGTCTCGCAACAATTCGCGTATGACACACATACACACACACACACACACACACATGCACACACAGAACTCACACACGGATACATGTATGCACACACACGCGAGCGCACGCACACACACATATGCTACAATTTCTCGTGCACGTACACCCACACGTATACGTTTCTCTTTCTCTGTAGCTGTTTTACACAAGCTACTGTGTCTTTTGTCTTGCACACGGCCCGTGTGTCGTCTGTATACATGTGCGCGTGTGAATGTGCGTGTGTGCGTATACGTGTATCTCTTTCTCTGTCATTCTCGTTAATCGTTTAGTGTATACGTGTGCGTTTCCTAACGGGCTTTCCAGCTTGCCGAAAGCGCCGCACTTTAACCCCGCGGCTCACACTCGAGCGGCCGAGTGCGTGCACTCGAATTAACACGCTCGAACAAGGCGCTCGCGCGCGAAAGTAAAGCAAACACTGCGAACGGCACTTCGCGCGCGCGGAAGTGACGTTCGTAATGCACTATTACGCTTATTATCCCGCCGCGTGGAACGCATATACATGTGTGTGTGTGTGTGTGTGTGTGTGTGCGTGCACGCGCGCACGCGATGTGTTTGTGCACATGGTAGAAAAGATTCGTCCGATGTGTAGAAGAGAGATTCAATTTTCAACTGAGAGACAACCGAGACGGGCATATAGCGCTTATACTACTACTACTATTGTTACTACTACTACTACTATTACTACTACTACCACTCGATCACGTTTAGAGCGCTTGAAGCCTGTAGAACTCGAAGCCGTAATATGCATGGTGTAACATCTCTTGAGAATGCTCTGAGTCTCGTACCTTGAGAGAAGTAGATTTGCCGGGGCCGAAGCGCGCTGTCATGACATTTCGAGACGCGCGATTAGCTGATTGCATTTGTAGCGATTTCTGCCACTTGTCGAAGCTTCTTTTCAGAGACGCGATATACGCGATTTTATTTTCGCAATGAGAGATCTCGCAGTTGCCTCTCTCTCTCTCTCAGTCGCTCCGACGCTTCGCTCGGTTCTTATGATTATTATTGCCTAGACGTATTATAAAGAAGGATCCGCTCAAGCCATCCGAGAGTCTCTCTTTCTCTCACTCGGCTACTTCTCTCGACGGGAGGCGCGGCGAGAATGCACAGGGAATGGTACGTGATGCATGCGCAGATTTTCCTCTAATACGTGCGCGGATTAACCCGATTGATAATACACCGGAGGATGCTCGTGGAGGCATTTATCGTATTACTCCCTGTGTCCCCCTCCGATCATCATCATCCTGCCACCGACCTCACCCCGTGTCCTACGACCTTATTGGGCGGGGCGAGGGTGCACCGAGTAACGGCGCGTTAGCGCCGCTTTGACAGATTTGAACACGGTATTCAGCTCCCATCAGTAGAGTAGAGTTACCTAACTTGTCCCTTTTCTGGGCGTTGGTAAGCAACCGGTCTCTTGCTGACGCTAAAATTAGTCTCGTAACACAAGTCGGTCAGCAGCTGGCCGCGGATCCTCCACTTTCGGTGAAGTAACGCGTTCTCGTAATAATGGTGACTTGGTCGTCCACGGATGTATTCCGTGTGCAAATCGCGGGGGGTGAGTGTGTCCGTATTCCATTACCAAACTACGGTAAGTAGTTTCCTTTCTAATGTCTATCGCAGTGCAAATCGTCGCGAAAAGAAACAGTCGCGGAATCTTTGCGTTAGAACGGCAACAACACGATAGAGTCGTCCTCTCCGCGATGAAGGTGTCAGTGGAGAACGGTTGTTGCCCGTCGAGCATGGGGAGTCTCTAAACCAAGTGTCAATGACGCTTAGAGTAGCGTACCAACGGTCAGAAAAGGCAAAAAAAGTAAGAAACAAATGAAAAGAGGAAGAACTATCGACAAAGAGAAAGGAATGTCAGGTTGGCTCTTTTTAAACGCCTCCCCCGAAACAGACCCGAAGTCCACAAACGGAGCGCTCTTTCGCATCACTCGATCCAGTTGCTAGCTACACACGTTGCTCTACTCTCACTCTCATTTCTTTCTATACTCTATCTTTTCCTCTCTCTATCTTTGTGTCTCTCTCCTCTCTCTCTCTCTCTCTCTCTCTCTTTTTACGTTTCATTCTTTGCCCGTCCTACATCCTTCCGTTCTACTTCTCTTCTTCTATTTCTTCACACGCCAATATTTTATTGCCTCTCTGTATACATTCGTCTTGTGTAAAAAGAACGACGTAGTCCCGCCTGTACATTTTGCCAGGTTCGGCACGAGCTCTGTGGCTGCCATACACACTAAAAGCCTAGCAGTAGTCTCTATGCGACCAGGTGTCGACCGTAGATACACGTTATTGCTACCCCGATACTCTTACCGCGCTACCGTGTTGTTGACTGCAACTTCCCTGTGTATCGCGGAGTTAAATTTACTTTGCAGGGGAAAGTAGTCATGAGAGCGCGTTAATCTAATAGAATCGCTTCTTACGTGATGTAAGTCAATTTCCGAGACCTGTTCGATTTAAGCGTTACACGTGCGCCGCGAGTCATAGATATGATCTATCTGTTTTAGCGGGAATCCCGAAATTTCACTCACCCAACCTAGGTCACGTTTAATACGTGGGTTGTTGATTCGATTCGCGCAGTAATTCTCGCCCGACCGCGTAAAAGGTTCTGTTTGCGCAACGAAATAACACGTCGCGACAGCAAATCCACGACGGAGAGTAGGAGGGTCCTCTGTTTTGTCCTCTTTCTGTTTTCTTCGTTCCTTCTTTTTTTCGAAATAACCGCAGTTTTTAAAAGCACCATAAAATTACGATGCAGCGGCGCGCTTTGAAGCAGTTTGTTTCGTCAGCCGGTCATTAATCGACTGCTCGCGTGTACGTGTTTTGCAACGTGTATCCACGGCCAACGCTCGTCCTCGCCAAAGTAGAAAGATCCCACTCCGTTAACGCCAACGTTCCTCAGTGTATCTGCTGTTCACGAAAGTCTCTACTTCCCATTCAGTGTCGGCTAACCGCACCTACTATCCCGCTCGCGAATCAGTCCGGAATCTCCCTTTCATTCGCAGGATTCTTCCTGTCACGCGCGCATCGTACGTTCATGCATACACACACACACACATATGCACAATGAGAGAATATTCAGGTCGGTTTTACGCGAACGCTTACGATAATTTCTAATGGTCTGTTTTGTTGTTTTCTCAATTATCCTGGTTTCAATGACAGAGTGCATCCCGCGACTCGCGCGAACGCATGCACGTAAAGCACGCACAACATTTTGAGCTATTTTACGCGCGTTTTCGCGTTGCCTTTTTTAGAAATTGAATCTGAACGGGAGCCCGTATCTTCGTTTACTCTAACACGTAGCGTAAAGGAAGCGTAGAAGTGACCGAGGCGTCACTCCAGTCATTACTCCAAAGACACTCCATCCAGCAGCCCATAAGATGTAAGCATGATACCACAAGCCTGTTCCAAGCATCGTTTGAAAAAGCCCAGCCCGCACACAATCCGGCCTAACGTCGTTCAACGCGAATCAACGACGAATTCGCGTTGTACGATGATCACAATGCCACGATGTCATCGTTATTTCACCACCAAAGGGACAACCGGTCACGACCACCGTTTCACACTTTCTCTCTTTCTTCCTCTGTGTATATCCATCTGTTCTTATCCAATCAATCTAGCTCCAAGCAACCATCGGACAGTATAATGTGCGATCGTAATCGAAGGAGAGCTAGCGACCGTTTGAACAATCGCCTCACCCGTTATCCTCTAATTGCCCCCGATCGATCGATCGATTGACCGACCGACCGATCGACCCACCCTCTGACTTTGCGCCCCGGCCCTGCCAAGCCAGCCAGCCCTCTACCCCCTGAGCCTAACCCCCAAACCCCCCTTGCCCACATAGATAGAGTGCCATGCCATGCGTGTTCGCTCTTGCTGTAGGTATGTCGCGAGTTTCAACGCGGGGCGTGCAAACGCGGCGAGACGGAGTGCCGGTTTGCGCACCCCCTCGAGACGGTGCAGGCGAACGAGGACGGCTCTGTGACGGTCTGCATGGACGCTGTCAAGGGCCGATGCAATCGGGACCCCTGCCGCTATTTCCACCCCCCTCTGCACCTTCAAGCCCACATTAAGGCCGCACAATCTCGGGCTAGCATTGCGGTAATGCATTCTCTCTGTCTCTCTCTCTCTCTCTCTTTCTCTCTCTTTCACTCTCTCTCTCTATCTCTCTTTCTTTCTCTGTCTCTATCTCTTCTGTTTTACTCTTTCTTTCTTACTTTCTTTCTGTACTACTTCCATTTCTCACATTCTCTCTTCCTTTTTAATATTAACTCTCGTCACGATTACGCTTTATTTTTTATTACTCCCAATTCATATTTACTCTGCCCGTCTTCTGTTTGCGCGTTTTGGTTTCGTTCCTCCCAAATTCCCCCGTAATCTAACTTGACGACTGGTTTGAGTACCTCGTCCAAGTGTTTTCTTCTTTGCGTGATAACGAAGTCCGCCATCTTGCTTTCCGCTGAATCTTCTCTGGGTCCGCAGGCGACACAGAGAGTACACCTCCCCTGTTTTTTCTTCATCACACGTCCAAACTCTCCGTTCTGTTTCTACTTCTCCATTCTGGTTGTCGGTAAATTGCGACAGGATCGCGTCTCGTTAATGAAATGGAAGGTGCCGTTAAACGTCGGAGATACGAAAGAAGGATACGCCAGAAAAAAAATATTACGCGTCGTTGCGTATATTCCTGTCGCCAGGTACCGACGCTCTTTGCCATATTCTGTGTCAACGATTGTCCCATTAAATAAACTCCGAAATGAATATAAATGGATGTTAAGCAAAAACGGCCATATTCGCGACAAAATTTATTTCACGGGAATGTCAACGATATGTGGCGTTATTTAGTTTGCATGCGGTATAGTTTAACGCAAGGAAAGTGAAAATGTGGAAACACAGATAACATTACTGCACAATAATGACTTTCAAATTTGATGAAAATTCTCGATATTTTAATGGGTCAAACAGCGACAACTAATAATCTCTTTTCCTCTCTACTTTCTTCTTTCTCTCTGCCTCTCTCTCTTTTTTTCTCTCTCTCTCTCTCTCTCTCTCTCTCTCCAGCCTCGACCTCGCAGATCGTTCCATGTGGCGTGTGCTTCATGCAAGTGTGTCGTCTTTTTTTATACTTTTTTTTTTTTTTAATTATCTCCGCTGAGAATTGGTCGATGTCAGAAAGGGTAAAGTAGATGCTCTGTCCTTTTCACTGTTGAGCTGCGATAATGAAGTACAGTGGTGTTGATGTCGCTTGTCGTAAAGAGAAAATGACGGGGACGTGTACCGCGGTATCGAGTTTCACTGTTGTTGCAATGCGCGCCTAGAGAGACGAGTTATTTGTCAAATCCGTGCTGCGAAGCGCCAACACTTTGTTTTACTAAAGTATTATCTTGTCGTTTCGCTCGAAACGATAGATAATAATTGAGCGCGTTGTCGCGTCCATTAACTAATTGCAATCACAAAGATATTTTTCACTGTGGTGCATATATAGATTGAAAGTATTTAATCGCTTAAATTCGTCTCTCTTTTTCTAACGAAAAGATTATCTTCGTATCCGCGGAAAATAGCGAAAGAGAAAGACACGTCGCGCTTTCGCCTAACACACACAAGCTTGGAAAGAAATTGCTCCACTTTTTTTCTTTTTCTTTTCCATTTGAACATAACTTCTCTCCGATTCTCACGATTGCTTGGATCCGCATTTGTTACACTCAACAATCATCGATCTCCGCTTTCTCTTTCTCTCTGTCTTTATCTCACTCACTCTCTCTCTCTCTCTCTCTCTCTCTCTCTCTCTCTCTCTCTCTCTCTTTCTCTCACTCTATCTCTCTTTCCGTCTCCCGTCACATCGCTCGATTATCAGCCGCGCGTTCCACTGTACTTTTTTCTATCAAGCGATACGCCTGAGCGGACGAAAATTTAAAAATTCCGGATTCGTACGCGGACGCAGGAGGAGGGTATCATCGATGCTCCTCGCGATACCCTCGAAAAGTCTTTTGTGCAGACCGAGGATATCGTTCGCGGAGAACAAAAGACTCGAAGTGCACGCATGTTCCCCTCGACCGCACTTTGTTCCTTCTTCCTTCCACACCTTAACCAGCCCTTTCCCTCCTCTGTGTCCTCTTCCTTTCACGTCTCCTCACCAAAACTCTCTTTCTTACCCTGTTTCACTCTGTCTCCTTCATACTTCGACCCGTACATCTCCTTCGCTCTATCTCTCTCTCTTTCTCTCTCTCTCTCTCTCTCTCTCTCTCTCTCTCTCTCTCTCTTTCTATCTATCTTTCTGTCACGCAGCCTCTTTCTCTCTTCGTTCTTTCACGTTTACCGTCACCCTCTCTTTCAGTTTCCTGGGTTTGTGTCGAAAGGAGCTTTTCCTTGCTGCGCTGCTTTTCGCCAATCTACGTCGAGTGTATACGTCGTCGGGCTTCACCCTTGATCGCAATAGTCCCTTTACGTGCTTCACACGCTGTTGAACACGTATCGTGTGTTCTATAGTAACATGCCGGCATGTACGCGATCTATACGCCGCGTATATTTATACACGCACGGCGTTATCGCGCGCGAGGACAGATTAACGATGGTGCAATAATATTGGCCAATTGTTGCGCAGTGCTCGTGCTATATGATAGTTGTGCCAGGAGTGCGATGATTCGCCGCGTTCCTCGTCAATGCGAATATCCGGCGCGTCGCGAGCGTGTGTTTATCTTAATTATGATTGAGAGTAGAAGCGACGAAGATGACGCGTCTACCACGGATCGGCGTTGAAACCCGTGCTTGCAAAGAATTAATCCTGCACACGGGAACTGTGCCTTGCCGAAGTTATTTAATCAAACTAATAGTATACATGGTACTTTGTAAAATAATATCTTTTACAAAAAGAATATTTTTTTCGCGCGTTTGTCCTCTCAATTAGTGTCTCAGTCAATTTGCGAGAAAACAGGTCGCGACATCATCGTCTCTCACACAGCTATCATAGAGACATTTACTTTGGTCTCCTTCTCCTAGAAAACCCTGTGTGGATTTCTCTCCGACTGCTTCCCCTTCCTCTGATCTTCCCACAGTACGACTACTTTTGATTACTATTTGATTTTCTCCCTACGATCGTACAAAACGGTCCTCGTCCCATGTTTGTCGCTTTTGTGTTCGTCCATATTTTACATCTCCTGTATGATGTTCAGCCGTTTCTGTAGTGTGTAGAGAGTAGTACACGAGGCAAAATTCTTGTTAACATCACCAAAACACCACTGTTCTATTTCTCTCTTTCTAGCAGCCTATCGCAGCTACCCAGGTGCAAAGAACTAGTTGCAATACACCAATCACCTGTTCGGTACCTAGGTCATAATGAATACAAGTACTTTCGCAGCCACGTGCACGCTCCATTTCCTCTCGAATTTCGCGAGAATTTATGTGTGTATATAAACGCACATATGTATATACTTTTCTTTTTTTTTGCATTATCCATGGTCCGATTATATCTCGTTCATTGATAATCGGAGCACGCGCCGAAATTAATAGCATTTTAAATCGAATGATTTATTAATCAGGCGCGTTATAATCACGTTAAATTATACACAGTTTGCGAGGAATCTTATGATATATGTTCAGTGAGTTTATTAATTATGCAATGCTCATGCACTGATCACACGTTGAATCGTATAATTTGCGCCAATTAATGAAATTAATTCGCTGAACGGGGCATTTCCCGATCAGCAGAAACTGCGGTGGCGCAGGGGACCGGGAATGGAACGTGGCCACGTCCTTGTAAATAAGATAGTAGTTGAGAAAATATATATCTCTTACGAATGACACGTACACCACCCTGCTGACAAGCTGTGCTGCACGAAACCCGGCTATCAACCCCGCTGCTGTTTTGCTGCCCTACACAAAAACGCTACACTGAGAGTCCCCGAAAAAAAAGATATGTCTATACATATAGAAAACAGCGAAAGATATACGTATATATATAAAAAAAAAAAAAAAAAGAAAAAACAACTAAAGGGAACGAAAACAAGATACGACGGGTTTGTTGGGAGGTGTGTGGGCCAGGCGATGAAATGTCGTTGTCCACTTCCGTTGTCAAATCTGTCTCTCTTAGCTCTCGCAACGTACGTAATGCAGTGCGTGTTGTGTCCGCGAGACGATGTTTCGCGTCGATCAACGAAGATGTCGCATATATAATAACCGCAGCCCCGGGCTGACACGAGGAGACGATCGTTAGCGGCGTTCTCGTTCGCTCGCTCACTCGCGATTCGTTCATTAAGCAGGACCTAAGTAGGAGCCGTTCTGCCGTTGTCCTCCGACCCTCTTGCCCTGGTTCCGCGTTGTCTCCCTGGAAGAGCTGCTCGCGCGGGTCGATCGAGAACCGCCCTTCCCTTTCGCGCTGTCGTTTATTATCCTGGTTATTATTTTAATTAAACCGAGGAGGGATGATTAATCGGTCGTAAAAATTGGCACGATCGGTTGGGGGGGATCAATGGGTTGTACGACTAAACGAGAGTATTCGCTCCCCGATCGACGGACGGACACAAACGGTCGGATCGCGTTTCCCGCAGACGCATTTCGGTGCGACGCGAGTGTATGCTTGCGACCGGACGGCGGTCGTATTTCCCCGGGATAGTTACGCATTTTCTTTCGCAAGCAGTGTGCGGGGTGGACGCACCTCGTTTACCCGCAGACTCGATCACCGGCGCCTCGACTCGCGAACTCGTCTCCGGAATGCGAGCGTGTTCATTGTCCGGGGGATAAAAAGAGCGAAAAGAAGGAACAGAAAGAAAAGGAAAAAAAACCACACGAGCGAAAAGAAAAAAAAAAGAGGAAAAAAGGCAAAGAGGATAGAGAAAAAAGCAGGAGTGAAAGAGAGAGAAAGAGCGAGAAAGGCTTTCAGCGACGTCGCGCGGAAGACCTGCAGCCACACCCGGACACAATGGAGGAAAAGTCTCACATGGATGATTGCGGCAGACCAGCTTGTTGGCAGGGAAGTCTCATTCTCTAAAAGTGGTTTTCAATTTCCCAAGGGTGCATACCGCGTATCGGCGGAATCGCCTCCGTCCGAATTTGCCTCGGGGTTACGTTGCCGGCGCGAGGATCTCTTAGAGAACGAAACGCGGCCACGGAATACGGGAGAATGCTTGTTTTATCAGCGCTCTCTCTCCCTCCGCTTGATTTCCTTTCTTTCAGATGGCCCGTCGATGGTTCCGACGCCGCTGAGAAAATTTCCGACGGGGTCTTTTCAAATTTGCCGAAATTTTGTCGCTTGTGCGCGCGGCTGTGCCCCGACGAATCGCGGAATTGATCGGCGCGCGACTCGAAGACATTATATACGACGGCAGCGTGCATTCGACAAATTGGATATTAATATTATCGAATATTTTGCTCGTTGACCAGTCACGTAGCCGGGACGAACTTTGACTCGCGCGACTGATAAATTTCGCCGTCGCGCAAATATTGGCCGCGCGCGCTTGCCGACTCCGGAGCTCTCTTCCGACCTGATCGTTTGAATAATGCGTCACGATGGGTCCCGTAACGAGCTCCACAATTAACCCCGATGTGCGTCGTCTGTACCAGCGATGTTGCCAACGAGGGCCATACTGAACCGCATCGTCGCGACGTAATGCACTCTTCGGAATTGGTACGCCATACCTGAATGTTTATCAAGTGTACGACACGAAGTTTCCCAGGCACGTTAAAGTGCAGAATCTGTGAACCGCATACGATACGAGCCGCTCAGGTTCGCGTATCTCCTCGCGATTTTTGTGTACAGAACAATATTATCGTCGCACATGTAAATATACACACATGCATGCACAAACACTCACACACAAGCACACAGACACATAGACACATGGACAGACATATTTTATCTAGAACACGTACACGCAGTCACGACACTGTCATTCTTGTCCCACCAAGAAGATGCCGACGACAACAGCGAGTACGAGAATTGAACAAGAGAACCCACCGTACACTTGGACGTTCATGAGAGATGGTGTAAATTAGAGTAATAATGAACTAAAAATCAATGTCTTTTTTCGTAAATTTTTCAGGTGTCGTAAAGATCGAAAAGAAAGACAAAACGAGAAGTACGGTTCTAAGAGAGACGCCCCCTCCTCTTTCGCTTCACTCACAGTCTCTTGCACGTATTTCTCTGTACAATTCTTGCCACGCGACGATTTTCCTACACTATATGTATATAAAACTCTCCATTTCTCTCACTTTTTCTCTCTCTCTCTCTCGTGCGCGTGCGATCGCCCTCTCCGTTTCGCTGAAAGGGAAGAGCGAATAAAGTAGCCCGGACGCATGGGCGAGAGAGAAAAGCGGAGCGAGGGAAGCCAAAGAGTCATTACATATATGATAATAATGGTATAATCATTAATGTTTATACATGTGTATATAGATTTATCTCTGGTTCTCTTATGTACATGAATATCCACGCAAATATAGATTGTGAGAGGCAGACGCAAAACTAATGAACCTCGAGAGAGTGCCTCGATTATTGCAGGTGTTGCCGGAGTCAGAAACGCCAGCCGAAAGCCCGATGTCGATGGACGATGAAGTGGGACCGGTTCTCTTTCGTACTACTACTACTACTACTACTACTACTACTACTACTACTACTACTACTACTACTACTACTACTACTACTACTACTACTACTACTACTACTACTACTACTACTACTACTACTACTACTACTACTACTACTACTACTACTACTACTACTACTACTACTACTACTACTACTACTACTACTACTACTACTACTACTACTACTACTACTACTACTACTACTACTACTACTACTACTACTACTACTACTACTACTACTACTACTACTACTACTACTACTACTACTACTACTACTACTACTACTACTACTACTACTACTACTACTACTACTACTACTACTACTACTACTACTACTACTACTACTACTACTACTACTACTACTACTACTACTACTACTACTACTACTACTACTACTACTACTACTACTACTACTACTACTACTACTACTACTACTACTACTACTACTACTACTACTACTACTACTACTACTACTACTACTACTACTACTACTACTACTACTACTACTACTACGCGTGCTATCTACGTGCTCCCTCCCACGCTCTACGTTCGATTTTTTGATTTTCCAATTTCTTTTAGTCACTTCTAGACTTCGCTACTAGACTTCGTAAATGTGTCTCACTTCTTGATCTATCTATCTATCTATCTATCTATCTATCTATATCTATTCTCTTTAACGTCGATGACATAATGAACTAGCTCGCCAATTAGCTCGCAGATTGACGCTGACGCCAGCTACGTCCGTTGGTCCTACCTAACGTACTATTATTATGATTATTATTATTATTATTATCGTCTCATTAATTGTCGTTATTATTATCGTGTCATTAATTGTCATTATTACCGTTATTATTATTCTTATCATCATTGTTATTATTATTATTATTATCTTGACTATATTAATCGGTGATGTTTACACTCGTGTCTCTCTCCATCATAGGGAAACTTATTTTTCTGCGAGTTATCGCGCTGCTACGTGAATTTCAAGGGAGTAACGCGGTTGAATTGCCGATAAACGCGGCGCCGGAAACGAGAGAAAGCGCGATAGAGGCTGCGTTATTTGCTTATAGCTGTACGCGTCGCGTGCGTCAGGCGAGTTCCCGATTCGCCGATAATTCGCGGTGCGCCGCGAGCGGTTTTCCAAGCGGGTCGCGAAAAGGACGCGCGTCGCGTCCAGGCGACGCTAAAAAGCAATACTGCGACGTATTGTAACAGAAACGTCTCTGTATGAACTTTTTCCCGATACAAACGTCCGGCCACTCTTGATGGCGCATGATCGTTATCACAGCCGCGTTTATCGGACAAGCAAGGTAGCGCGATCGCGCGTCCGACCAATGCCGCTCTTGTTCCACTCGCACGAGAGTTCTCGCGTCCTTCGCGTGCTTTTTTTCTTTTGCATATTGTTCGACACATATTCGCAGAGGTGCGATTACTGTCGAGACAGCGCGCAGAAATTGCATCAGCGCTGCGCGTTTGTAACTACTTTCGTCGCCCGTTTTTTTTTTTTTTTTTAATTTAATCCTCCGCGTGCTTCGCATCGACGTAAACGCGGGGAAGACGCGAAGGATCGAAATGATTAACAGAGAGGATAATAGAGGAGAAAAAGGAAAATGGTACGTAGCCACGGTGGACGATCGAATTGTATGACAAATGGCAGCAATTACGTCACTCGAGATGCACGTGCGAGTAACACGAGTGGCGCATTTATACCCAACGGGTGTATTGCGCGTCGGCGTGCGTATCGTCTTACGCGCGATCGCGCGCGCTCATGCACAAATATATATCGGTGATGCTCGTAAATTCTATGCGTACGTGCCGTGTGCGCGCGTGTGTATCCGCGCGTGCGCGTGTGTGTGCGGGCGCCCTCGCGTACCGGCAGGTCACACAAACGACAAAATCGCCCGATAAGCGCGATAAAGCGCGGCCCGTTGATAACTCAAAAAGCGCGTATCGGGTGCGTGCACGCACACACACGCGCGCGCGCACACACTGAACATACATACATATATACACACGCACGCACGCACGAGAGTGTGTTCTTTCTTTTTGACATTGAACAAAAATGATAAAAACGAAAATATCGCGACTGTCGTTTCTTGCCTTAGCCTCAACTGGTCTGTTTTTCTTTTTTTGATTTTTATCTTGCCCTCTTCCGCCTGACGATGCTTCTACATGCTTGCTGACAATACCTTCGTGCGCTTCGCTACCTGCCAATTAACGCCTGCGAAATATTGCCAACCGAAAAACTCGGAAAAATTATACCAACGTAAAAAAAATAATACAACCAATATAAATAATATGCACGATCGACCGATACCACACCGCACGCATATGCCAAAATACCAAAAAAAAAAAAAATGTGCCACCACCACAACCACCGCAACGATACAACAAAATATGTATAAATATGCTAACACACGAAAAAAAACGGAAATGTCTCGACTGGGGGACGTCTCGGGGAATGCCGAAACGGAAACGGATGTGGTCGACGCACGGCGATGCACGGGAAACTGTAAAAACGAAATCTACGTTATATGCACGTGTAAAAACGTCACGGAACGAAAACGACAAAAAAAAAACGTGGAATCGGAAAAACCGAACAAACGTGTGAAAATGAAAAAAATAAAAAAATCACACACGGAAAACGGATATGATATACGAAAAAATGCAGACGGCGACGATGCCGACGAACGTGACGGGAATAGATGCGTTGGCTGGCGGAGTATCAGGAGTGCCGGCAACTGCGATGCCCGGAGGACTTCAGAGCGCCGGTATGGCGAGCATCGAGCTCGGCAAGAAGCGGATGCGCGACTCCAACGATGATCTGCTAATGGTACCACGGCTTATGCATGGAGTACACTTTTCCTTTTTCGTAGCTGGACTCCGGCAAAGTGGCCCCGATCTCGCGACGAATCCGAAGATCTCGTTTCCTCGCGCGAGACGCGAACGCGATACCTTGCCAGAAATACCACGTGCGATCTCGATCTGACGAGCTGTAATATCGATCGAACCGAGTAACAATTGACAGATACACGTCGGAGATAAATCAATCGCGACTATATAACGTAACAGCGGGACATCGGCTGGAATTTACGGTCAGTCGTATTCACCGGGTCGATTTAACGGTTTATCGGCAAATTTTCGACGTCGTTAGGCAAAGTGCAAGAAACTAGTCATCGACGGTTGCGCATAATCTCACGCTAATCTCGGGCAGAATTCCGAACTGGCTGGCTCGCCTCGTACTTGCGCTCGATCCGGGGAAACTTTCTCAATGGAAAGGTTCGAAACGGCGTACGTTCCACGTCGTGAGTGCAGTCGAGCCGTCGCTTTCGCGCTGTAAATGAGCGACGCCGCGATTTTGCGACGCGATAAAGATTCGGGCGACCGCGACGGAACGACACGGGCCATTTTCCGGAGGATCCATCTAGTAGTCATACCTTTAAGTTACGAGTATAGTCATTGCGATTGTGAATACACTGCCGAGCGCGCTTAGAGCTCTACATATATACATATAGCTCCTGTCTTTCATTTTATTATTTCTAACAAGGATCCCCTGCTGTTTCTCTATCAGCCAGGAGAGACGGACGTTACCCGTGCGATACGAGATACCGCGGTGCGTTTAACCCCTTCGCCGGCCAGCGACGTCATGACGCGCGTCGTCGTGATTGAAGCACCTGCAGTACCGGTAACGTCACCATAACTGAAACCTTTACGGTCCCAGCGACGCCACGTGCACGGCGTCATTATCGAAACCTCTGTAACGTCGTAGCGCTTCGCCGTGCGGGACATCATCATAGAAACCTTTACGATACCAACGGCGTCATACACGGCGTCATGATTAATGAAACCCTCTCGCCGTGACACCGGCGATGGCGCGCGCGCACATTGTACAATCGTCGAATCGTTTTGTGATTAAGATACCCGCTTCCCGCGGATTCGGCCGAAGGGGTTGATCGCTGCCTCGAGGTGCGTCACCACACCCGCGGCGTGGACACGCAACACTCGTATCTCGTATCGACTAGTACGCGATCCGGTGCTGGCCTTGATCGCGTGAGAAATTCTAGAGTCTCTATCTATTTTTTTTTCTCTCTCTCTCTCTTGATTTCGCTTCCCACTGTCGTTTGTTGCGATGTTGTTCGTATCAGAGCTTACGCCTCGTAATGTATTTATAGATCGCTTACTACTTGGTTTTTTTGAGTTTCCTCCGATCGTTAGCCACGCGCTTTCGTCGCGCCACTCGCGGAGGAAAGCCACGCGATGCACCAAAAGTGCATAATCCGTCAGAATCGCGAGACACATATCAGGCGTGGCTAGCGATGTCGTCTACGATTTAACGTACATTTATCCCTTGGCGATTTCTCGGCCGACGATATCAACGGATCCGCGATCGGGTGCAAGGAGCACCTCGCCTTCACCGCGATCGTCATCCGCTCGTCGGTCGCGCTTACATTCCGAAACACGCGCGCACTATCTGGACATCCCGAAGAGTCGGAAGGACGAATGATACGCGCGTTTAAAAGTATGACATCTTCATCAGTATAACTTTCAATCTGTCCGTCTCAATCAATGAAACTTTTAACCTCTCGAATTCAATTATGATGTTTGCAAAAATTATCAAATCGTTAAACGGTTACGTCCTGATAGATCTCCGTCGCGGAGATATCGGACACGTGATTTGTCGAATGATCCAAGATCGCTGAGTGGGTTTAACGCGGCGAAATGAAGAAGTGCGCGCGTGCTTCGATGCGAGCTTGATGAGAAAAGCCCATTGACTCTAATCTCCGTACGTCTCGGGATTTCCTCGCGCACGAGGAAACGAAAAAGAGAGTGAAAGAAATACATAAAAGAGGCCGAGTCCCTGAGGCCTGGCTGAGAGAAGAAGGCTCTCTCGCACCGCGCTCGCTGCGCGATACGGTGCGAGAGACCGCGGTGGTGCACCGCGGTGACGCGTACATACAATACGGAGCGTTAGATCTGTGTAAATTCTGAGCTTGCGCCGATGATGCATGTTGTGCTTAAGCGACTACCGAGGTGATGGTGCGTAACGTCATCCCCTCGACGCTCTGGACGATGATCGAACTTTTGGCAGTCTTGTCTTGTTTGTCGTGGAGGATCGTCGAGCGGACCCTCATCGACGCGACGCGTTTCGAGAGCTCGCGAGATCCGCCGTCCTCTCGGCCCGTGACGGCCCGTTATCCTCGTTAAAGTCACGTCGAAATCCGCTAAAGAGCACTGTAGATCGCTTACATACACTCGCTACTGTTCTCTTTTTTTTCTGTTTTCTTTTTTTTTCTTTTTGATACTACCCTTTCTTTTACCTCTGTCTTTATGTACGTATATTACGAAATCTCGCTCTTTCTCTCTTGTCCTTCCGTCGCTCATACTGTCAATCAGGATCTGAAGCGCGATCGACGGACTCGTTCGGGCTCGAGACGTGATTCCATCCGCGCTGCAACTCTCCAACTTCGCGCATCAGGACGGGAGAATGGATTTTCGCTGTACAAATAGGGGTTTCTTTCGGAGAGCGCGCATAACTTTCCGATATTTTCGGTGTACGGAGTTTTCAATGCGCGCGAGGAGAAAGAAAAAAAGTCGTCTGCAGGGGATTCATATAAATTCATAAGAACACGCGCGGACTCTCTCTCACTCTCTTTCTCTCTCTCTCTCTTTCTCTCTCTCCCCCGCGGAAATGTATCACTAACGGTAGAACAGAAATTCTGGGGCGCGCGATAATATCGAAGCAACGAAACGAGAATGGATATTCGCTGTTGCGCGCGGCTTCCTTTCTGAGAGAACGCGCCGACTTTTCACGATATATTTTTAACACGTGACCGGAAAGGCCGTAAATGCGTGGAGAGTAGCGACATATCTCGATGTATCCCCCCGTGTACGTCTTTTGCCAACGAGTGATAACGTACGCATTTGACGGAGTCGAGAGACGAAAAGTGAAAGAAATATAAACAGTTAAAAAAAAAAAGAAAAAAGGAAAAAGAAAGAACAAGAAGGGAAAGTCGGGTCGCCTCTGCCGCGCGCTAAAAATATTCTCACTAATCAAAACGCAGCGAGACGCTTGTTCGCTTTCGCGCACACGCTTATTGGCGACGTTTCGCAATTACGTTTATTTGCTCCGTTAGTCACGAGCGCGCACCACGAGTCAAAGGAAGGAGCGAGCTTCAGGAGTCGTCCGCGGCGCAAATCGGGAATTTCGCGCGCAAGCCGCGGCTACACGAGGATCGTGGTGTCCGTGCGTCGTTACGACTCCGTGTCCTACGTCGGTGAGCGAGCCGCGGAACACGTGTTAACACGCATATACATATATGTATGTATCTGTGCCGCTGTGCGACAATATATTTCACCCCGGCCACATTCACTATCAGCTTCTGAGCTTTTGCATCTCGTCTACGCAGCTTCTAACTCGAACGTGTTACACCTCGATAGAGTCTTTGATTTGGCTTTCCCCTCTTTGTTGCGCACGCGTCTGTCGCAGGCGACTTACCAAAGTGCCCGCTCACGTATATATCACCGCAAGCCCACCAGCTTTCGTGAATTCGTGTTGTGCAACTCTCTCGCATCTCGTCGGTATCGCGAAGCCTTTTTGTTCTCCGAACCCCCCGCCCCCTACTCCAAAAAATTGCGCCTCTTATCAATATATATCTCTTGTCGATCGTCCTCTTGCTCTTTTCTTTCTTCTTTGTCTCTCTCTCTCTCTCTCTCTCTCTCTCTCTCTCTCTCTCTCTCTGTCTCTCACTCTGCTCTCCAATCTTTCTCTTCATCTATCAGTCTCTCCGTTTTGCTCGCGAAGAGGGAAGAAAGATTTGTTTTGTGTTTCTTTGTCGCGCGAAAACGGACGGAAAGCTTTCAGATCGAGCATTAGCATTGGCATTGCATCGCGACATCCTGATGTACCTTCACTCTCGCGATAGTTTCAATTAGGAAGGCGACAGTGCAGCATTCCAGTCCGGTGTTTTGGTCGTTTATTAACGACAGTTTATGACGGTCTCTCTTTAATCGAGCCGCGCACGGTCCTCGATACCAACTAATGGCTGGTCTTTCTGACACGCTCTCCCAGTAGTAGAAACAGAGGAAAAGTGCAAAAGATAGAAAGAAAGAAAGAAAGAACGAACGAACAAACGTACGTACGAACAAACGAACGAACGAACGAACGAACGTAACATTTTACAGTTATCCAACAACGAAACGTCGTCGTTTGGGAACGTCGCCGCAAGCTGCGTCATCGGCACAACTTTTACACACTACCACAACCCATCACCCTTCTCCACCGCGTCATCGTCTACCCCCTGTTTCTTTGAGACACGACCCTCTCTCTCGTTTCCCGTCTCGAAAATCCAATTATACAAGACGCAACGCGCCTCGTCCTCGAAATTAGTTGAAACCGATCCTGTCTTTGTTGCAGATGGACATGAAGTCTGTCGGGTCGTTCTACTACGAGAACTTTGTAAGTGCAGAATCTAAACACTGAATCTCATAATTCATGCGATTCGTTGCTTCGCGCATTGTATCACACTCCGTTGTTCACTTGTACTCGCGATCGTAAGAATCAGATGACAACTTTTCGCAGCGACATGTCGGCAAATCCGGTCAAATCGATAAATTCGATAATCTCGCGTATTATCGATGTGACGGCACAACGGCGACTGCTTCGCATCCTGCGCGAAGTAACCGCCGTGACGGCGTTACATCGATATAAGCGACGTAGCTTCGCTACGATACTTAACACATTAAATTTGGACGGAAAAGGTTAGCCCTTTTTTCCGACTTGTGTCGTGGAAAACAAAAAGAAACCCCGACGTCCCCTGCACGGCTGGATCAAGAGAACCCATGAGCACGCAAAAGAGAACAAATATATTCCCCCGGCCGAAACGGAGTCGAGGCTTTCACCGCAGAGGAAGCTTCCGCTCGTGCGGCCCCCGCGTCGTTCGCGTCATCACTCCTTCTAATCGCAAATGTCTTGGCAATTCTTTTTCCAGACCTTCCCAGGAATGGTTCCGTATAAACGACCGGCGGCCGACAAGTCCGGCGTGCCGGTCTATCAGCCTACCGGCGCGACGACCTATCAGCAGTTAATGCAGCTGCAGCAGCCGTTCGTGCCTGTGTCATGTGAGTACACTGGAACACCACCCCTACCCACCCAAACCTCTAACCAATCGGTCGTGCAACCCCCCAACGTGCAAAGCAACCACCACGCGATGGTGGTGCAGTCCTCCTCCTCCCAGGGAGCCGCTGGCGCCACTGTCAATAACTGCGCCGACGCCAACAATGGCGTGCTGATGGATCCCTGCAACAATCCACCGCCGCCACCTCCGACCGCCGACAATAACAGTAACAATAATAACGGCAGTAACAAGCAGCCGGTTACCGCACAGAATCACGACGTCGAAAACGCGCGTAACTCCCCCGAATTGAAACACTCGAGCCCGTCGTCGCTGCAGCAGCAACAGCAGATACATCAGCATCAACAGCAGCAGCAGCAACAACAGATCAACCAGCTGGCGCTGTCGGCGGCTGCGTGCGTGCCGCCGGCGATGAGTCCGTTGACCTCGATGGCCGGCTTGACCTCGATGCCCGGCGTGGTGAACATGGCCTCGATGGCCTCCATGGCCTCCATGGCGAACATGCCGTCTATAACGAACATGAGCTCCATGGGCAACTACAATGCCTCGAACATAGCGAGTCTGAACATGCTCAACAGTCTCGGCATGTCCGGCCTACCAGCCCCTCTCGATCCCGCGGCTCTCGCTAAAGAGGTCGCCCAGAAGAACTATGCCAAGGCCATCAAGTTGTCGCAGGCCCCGCAGTCTTACGCCGGCATCAGCCAGCTCGCCGCGCTCAATTACACCGGCGTCGCTCTGAACAAGCAGAACCTCGTAAATCCCGCTGCCGCGGCGGCGGCAGCGGCGGCAGCCGGGAATCCCGCGGTAGCTGCTAGTCTGCAAGCCACCGCGGCGACTCCCAGACCGGTCATCTCGAGTCTGGCCGGTATCCCGGGCGCTCTGACCTCACCGTTGTCCGCGGGCATCCTAGCCTATTCGAGACCGCCGCCCACGGCGACACCTATCAATCCCTATTCCCTCATTAGACAGCAGATCTTGCCGAATCCCTACGTCCAGGCGTCGATATCGGCCATGCCTGGCGCGACCATGCAGACCTCACCCTACGTCCAGAATCCGTACGCCGTCTTACCCGGGGTAGCCAGCGTACCCGGAGTAGCGGCCGGCGTTGCAGCCGCGGCTGCGGCCGCGGGTGTACCGACCGTTCCGCAGATACCGCAGATCGGCAATCCGGCGACGATAGCGGCGCAGCCGCAGGTGGCGATCCCCGTTAGCTCCGGCGTGATCATGCAGCCGTACAAGAAGATGAAGACTTCGTAAATTCCTCGCACGCTGCCGGCTCGGGAGGGCTCGTCCTCTCTCACGAGAGTGCTGATTCCTTCCTCTGAGCGCCTTCCGTTCTCTCCCTCGCGAGAACGAGCGAACGAGTCCGCGCGAGATAGCCGCACCATCGCGGTCGGTCGCGGTGGTTCGCGCATTAGGTATAATTCTAGAATATCTTTATGAAGATTAGCAGTCAATTTTACGTACACGTGTACGCAAACGATGATCCGCGTTCAACTTCGCGGCGGTTATTTTAAGTATTTAGAATATCTAGTATCCGAGCGGTTATAATCACGTCCGGGAATAGTCGTGGGTTTCGTGTATATTTTGCTTTTCGAAAGATCGAGTCGGAAATTCGTCCGAATTGATTGTATTAGTTCGCGTGATCAGGTGGGAATTAATCGCGTAGAATATCGGGTTCTCCACAGAATCGCAAACACACCGGTGCACCTCAATCTGCGAACACGTCCTTTTTCATACGTTTTTATTCCCACTTTTTCTATATTTCGCTGGTGTAAGTAGGCGTGTTCCCTCTAAATTGGCTGTTTGAAAACGAGGAAAAAATCGAATTGCAATTGTTTTAGCTTTAATCTATTTAATATTACGAAAAAAGTCATTTAATTCATCAGTGGTATGGTGGGAAACGTGGCGGTAACAAACATGCGTGACGCCGATATTAAATCGCCGGTGCCGAGAAAAAAGAAAAGAGAAAAACGAGAAATCGGTCTTCGTTCGCGAGAGGGACAGAATGTTTAGCTGAGCGATTGCGGCGAGGCGAGAAGTGGTGGATGCTGGTGTAAAGAGAGGAGAGAAAAAAAGAAAAGACGAAAAAAAGGAAGAAAAAGAAAACAAGTTCCGAAAATAGATTCATTTTCTAGTCAGACATTGTCGATGAACAGTGCCTTATTGACCCGATTCCATTTGGAGCGCTTTGAGCGTACAACTGCGAGAAAGAGTAAAGAGAGAAAGAGAGAGAGAGAGAGAGAGGGAGAGATGGGAGAGAGAAACGACGACGACGACGAGCAACGCGAGGAGATATGGGATCCTTTCCCGTCATATTACCCGCTTGTTCGAGCGACTAAGGGAGATACGTGACTACCGTTCCGATCTTGTCTCTGTCGGAGTGAATCTGGAACGATCGAAAACCGCGCTCGAAAGAAAAAGAGGGCGGGAGAGTCTGCGAGATATTGAGCGTGGCTGGAGAGTCACGCCGATTTATATACATTTAGTCTTTTATTTCCTATTTTAATGTTCTCGTAGGATATAAAAAAAGAAAAACAGCGATTTGCGATGCACTTGTCGCGGAGGCCGATCAAGCTTCGCCGATTTATTTAGGGCTAGTTTACAGTAGAAAACTAGCGAAAGTGTTGTGTGTCGTTGCGTGACTCACATTTTAGTTTTTTCTGTTTTTCTTTCTCTTATTGTAACTTTTTTAGGATCGTAAATCGTAAATTAGTCAATTCGCGCCCGCGTTCGGCGCCGCAATATTTTACTCTTCTTTTTTTCTTAATCTCGAAACTACACAAATTTCTGTGTTATTAGCTCATTCGTCCAAATTTTAACGTGTAACGTCCGCCCCAAAGCAAGACGAAAAACGACGCTCGGCCTATTGTATGTTATGCGCGAGATACTTGCCTTTAAGTCCTTAGTATTAATTAACGCTCGCGATCGCGGAGTTCTCGAGAATGATTATCGTCGGATCGTTCTATTAGATCTTATTTCGCTTGTTTATGTTCACTAGCAAAAGTTCGAAATTCTATTCGCTCGTTTATCGCGGATGGTTCCGTTAACGAGGCTATAAAAATAGTCACGCTTTAGCGTTACTTAGCATGTTATTGAGAGAAAAGGAGAGCTGTTTTCTTCGTGCCGATGTCGGGAGTTGTGCCGTGAATTTTTACGAGACTCGCGCCGCGAATATATTTGTTAATGTTTGCCGGACAGGTTGTTTAAAGAAAAGAATTTTATTGATTTGACTTGTGTATTTTTAATTGTTTAATTTAAGAGTATATCACAGCTGTGGTAACGTATGTTTCCTAGAAACACCTTGCACACATCGACGCGCATAAACTCGACCGGAAAGAGTGCGACTATTCCGGCGAGTCCTTAGTTGTCCTATAGTTATATGCGTAGTATTTAGACACATAGCCGTTCGTTTTACTTAGCGTATGTATCTTTAGCGTTAAGCGTGCTCGGACACAACGTACTCTTCTGACGGATTCAATTCGGGGGAGTCTGTTGCACACGCTGTGAACTTCGTCAATTGCGACCTACGAGCTTATGCATTTAGCCGAATGAGGAAGAAAGAAAGAAAGAAGGAAGGAAGGAAAGAAAGAGACAAACACACAAAAGGAAAGAAAAAGGAAAAGGAAAGAAAAACGTGGAGAAAGAAAAGAAAAGACACGAATGAGAAACGACGTGTCCGCGAAACACGTGGATGCATTTACGTGGAGCTCGAAGATGAGAGAGAGAAAAGGCAGAGAAAAAAATAAAAAACGGTCGGTCTAACTTTGGAGGCGGGGTGAGACGGGAGAAGAAACACCTCTCGTCGATCATCCTTCGAAGGTGGAAGGAAAAAACGAGTTCACATGCGCGTCATAGTACACAATCGCACAAACATTACACCTAAGACACTCACACAATTAACATGATAGACGCTGCGTATATTTTTATTAATTATATGGCGGTCAGAAGAGAGGGGGAGAGAGAAAGCTGAAGAGAAAGAGAGAAACGACCGATATGCGACGTTACACAGAGAGATTTTCGCGTGGTTTTTGGGAGAAGACACGCGAGAAAACACGCGCGCGGGAACATCTGCTTTTCTTTCTCTCCGTTTCTCTCTCTCTCCTTGCCGTGTACCCGCGTTCACGTGTCTGCCAGTGATTTGAAAGTTCGTTTAAGTCCGGATGCGTAGTTTAAACATCCACATGCATAAGTACATATGCGTGTGTTTGTAAATAATTGTTTTCTTTATATACATGGCGAAATACCGGGAGAGATGTCTGTTGCATGCATTAGAGTTATACATATATATATACATACGTATATATATATATATATATATATATATATATATATATATATATGTATGTATAAGTGTGCATACATGTACGCGGAGAGAGAGCACTCGCTGGCACGTATATAGCGGAGAATAAACGAAACGGCCGGTCGTATCGTAATTTCGCGGACTGGAAAACCGGGCGAACGAATTGTACGACGGTAGGAATTTGTGTACTCGAAAACGCGGAAGAACAGAATGAGGTATTCTCGAGGATCCCGACGCGCGTTGTACGTACACACATACATACACACGAGCGAGATTTGCTTTCGGCGAACCTTCGGCAAAAATTCACTCCGCGCCAAGTTCACGGTGTATACACAGCTGAATGTACATTACGAATCGCGCGGGTCTAATTTTAATCCCCTCGTCTCCTCGTCGTAACGCGACTCGGGAGATGGAATTGCAATCATTGCGGGGAAATTTATTCGAATTGCGTTATACACTGCATCTTTCCTCGGTGTGAGCATCGCTCCGCTTCGTAGCGGGCGACGGCGAAGAAGCGCGCGCATTTCCTCAATTCCTCCGGTTCTTCCGCGACATTAGAAACAACTTCTTCCGACGGGTCACAATGTGTCACCTACGCACAAGACTGCAGAGCGAGGTCGTTCTAACGATTCTAGAGGCTGGCGGCTCTCAACTCGCTCTCGCGTTGATCGCGAGACTGTTCACAAATATCCTCTCACTCTCGCCCGTAATACCGGTATGACTGCATTACACACACACACACACACACACACACACACACACACACACACACACACACACACACACACACACACACACACACACACACACACACACACATACAATTTCCGACTTTGCACGTAGATAAGTATTTGACGCGGCACAGTTTGACTTCCGAAAAAGACTCTTCTCATGGCCTAAACTGTCCATCTAGTCCCGAAGACTGAAGCTCGCGAAGTCGTTATTCATTCGAACTCCGATGATACTATGAACGTTCGAGGACTCATTACACTCGTGAGCCACGTACTGATTCCATAACGCGAAGAAACCTCATTTGAGTTCCGCGAGCCAGAGATGAGAGTACGAGTCGCCGCTCTAGAATTGCAATTGAGAATTCTCGAGAGTGCATCATGGTCTTCCATAACGAACGCCACACGAGAGAACTCTTCGAGGCGAATGTTTCGTACTATTTCGCGGGAATTTGCGCGAAGCGCACTCGTCCCGGGAGAAGAAATTGTTTCTAGCCTTACGACGAACGCGCGCGTGCGGGCGATCCTTTGTGATAATATGTAATGTATTACACTGACGTACACACGCACACACCACTCTCGCATGTAAGAGTACTCTGCGTCGGAGTACAGTGGAATTTCAGCCCTTTCGCGGTGACCTTGCACGGCGCCAGTCTGACATTTGCCCGCACATACACGAACGACCGGTACTTATGACGCCATAAGACGTCATGTCGTGGCATCATACGTAAAGCGTCGTCGGCGCTGAAAAAGGGCTCGAGAGGGTGACGATGCACGTACAGTCATCAACGTGCACGAACTCTTGAGCGATCGGGCCGAACAGATTCGGCTATTGGTGCGCCAGTTCCGTATTCGACTTCATGACGGCTCTATAATTAAGGTCCGACTTCTCGGCCTCGTGAGACAGTAGTGAGAGTCGATGGAAACAGCCTGAATTACCGATTACGGACCGACACTTTTTAGGGTTCCTCAAAACTTGATGTCTACAAATTATATACGTACATTATCGAGAGGATGGCTGGTTTTTTTAAATTCACACCGAGAGCCCGGAATCGCGTTCTTCTGGCGGGATGCGCCGGTCAGCGCGTCGCCGCCGTCGTTGTTGCATCTCGTAGAGAAGTGTTTTCCTAGAACTGTGATTGTTTTGTCGCAAGGCTAACTAACCGCGTACTTCCATAAGAGGGATGTTCGTTATATTTTGCTAGAGGAGAGTATTCTTTTAAGGAGTATGTGTTTTATTAGCGTAGCGTCGTCTCTTGTGTGCGTACGACGAAGATGACGTCATGATGATGTAAAAGAGATTAAAACGCAGTCCCGTGTTTTCGGTGTGACGTCGGCTTAAAAACAGCGGAAGTGCCTTCCCCTTGCACTCTATACACCATTGCACACAGAGGACACGTATACAACAGATACATTATTTAGACTCGCGACACGAGAGAGAGAAGCACTACTTACGATTAAAAGAAAGAGGAAAAAAGAAAAGAAACTTACCCGATATACATATATGATTATATTTATATACCCTTATTGATTAAAATAAATTACGTACATATATAAATACGCGTATATACATATATTGTCTCGTTGTTGCATGTAAGTTAACGCGATGCAACGAAATGAAAGGAGAATAGGGCGTACTTGTCGCAAGATAACTAAATTACATGCATACATATACACGGGAGATTATTTTGTGGATTATGTATGTGTATATACATGTGATCACACGCATATATACACTACACTCGAGTGCACTATTACGATTGAGAAAGAGAGAAAAGGAAAAAAAATTTTACGACATGACTATATACACGCATACAGATAGTATTTATTATTGTGTACTGTATACTGTGTCGACATATACATATACATACATACATACATATATATATATATATATATGTATATATATACATATATATATATATATATATATATATATATATATATATATATATATATATATATACATACATACATGAAATTCTTCATTGTACATTATTATACATACATATATGTAAACATATGATATATATATACACATAACCAGACTTACACATATGTATAATTACGATTATATCTCGAGGATACATTACGCACTACCCCGGGAATGCAGATGCAAAAGTTCAGTGTATTCTCAACGATTGTACGCGCTCGCGCGCAAGGTCTACTCCGAGTCTGTCCGAATACACTTCGAATCACCGTGTTGTGTGTAGTCGCGTTTATGTGTGTGCGCGCCGATGCGTTAGGATCGACGTCGTCCCTCGTGCAAGTCACGGGGGAAACTGATGAAACGCGACAGCTTGCGCCGACTCGAGATAGAGAGATATAATAGTCAATCTCGCAAGTCTCGAATTGCGTTTTTGCGCGTGCACGCTCACGGGGTTTGTCAAGGAGTCAGCCAGTATTTGTAATAATAATGCTTGAGAAATGCATGAATATTTGTGTTTTATTAATGCTTCTTCTTATTTCATCTCTTTCTATGATAAAAGAAAAGTGAAACAGAACTTCCCGAGACTCGCTATATAATCCCTTGTAATATTTATATTTATATATACATATTATATATATACTTGTGTATTATTCGATATTGCGCCCATTATTGCTCACAGTCTTAGCCTCGCTTCCTGCTTCCCTTGTTTTTAATCTCCTCTCATTCGGAAATTTGTTCGATTCGGTGCTTGTATCATAACCACTTTCTTTTCTCCTTCTTTGCGTATCCATCTTTCTCTCTATCTCTGTTTTTATTTTTCTATTATTTATTTATTTTTTCTTTTCGCGAACATTGTCACAACATGCTGTTTGATCCGCCGCGATCGGTGTTCCATCAGCGGTCATTCGCACTGATCGGATGGTTCACTCCGATCGTGATTTCTCGCGGATCATTTTCACATTTTATGTTTAATTTCGATGTTCCTTACCGCTGGCGCTCTTATCAACGGGGCATTCCTTCACCATCGCGTGCCCTCGGCGGAATTTCTCGCCGTCGTTGTGTCGCACGCCCCTGCGAATCGCCCGCAATGTCTCTCTCTCTTTCTTTTTTTCTCTTGTTCCTGCAATTCGCGACTATCCTACTATTTGCCGCTGAGAGCACGCGAATCACACCACGCACGCGGTCCTCTTTAGGATCACGTAGATGTTAGCCGCTTTTACTATGGCGAACACCGTAAAAGAGTGCCGTACGACTCACGCGACTTGCTGTTTTCCTCATCTCTTTGTCTTCATACCGCTCTTCCTGTAAACTTCATTGTCCACGGCCTATGTTTTATCCTCATGGCTTCTCCCGCGTTTTACCTGCGACATTTTTCAGGCACGGACGAAGTGTATCTGTGTGTAGATATATATATATATATATATATATATATATATATATATATATATATATATATATACATACATATA